AAAAATATTCTAGGAATCTTTAAAATATGCAACGCTCCACTCTCTGTTTCTAAATTATCAAGTTAGGGTGGATCCAACAATATTCATTGATCAGAAAAAGTTGAGAGAAAACATTTGAGCGTTCTCATTTCTCACACAAGAAAACCAAACCTAAAGCTATGTTTTTCTGTATTTATGTTTTTTTCAATATTTGTGTTTGGATAGGAGATTGTTTGAAATGTTATTTAGAATAATTATTGTAGCATTTTTTAAATGATCTAATGTATGTGAAATAAAAGATAGTTTAAAAAACAAAAAAAATAAATTTTATGATGCAAACAAATAATTTTTTTTGTAAATAATGCCTATTCAAATGCACTTGTTTTGATACTCAAAACAACCTTTATAATGACAAAAAATGTCCATGCATGTAAAAAATTGATGTATAGATTTAAGGGTTTCATGTATTGTGTTCTCAATACAGTCCAAGTCTTCGGTTGTTAGGGAGAAACATCTTAGAGAGAGGCCATCAAGGAGCCTAAAATGTAAGTCAGGAATTCAATTCTGAGCTAAAAGTTTAACCTTTTAGATTTTGGACCCTTACTTATATATTAAATACTCTTTCTCTATCTCTCAACTAATGTGGGATACAATTCCTTACACATAATCTAACAATATTACCTTTCATAAGCAATATCTCACATTAAATCCAAGTTTACAAACTCTTCTCTGAACTCACTTTAATACTTAACACAAAATCATCTTAACACATAAGGTCACCTCATTTTCCAATCATGGACCAACTCTTTTCAATATCTAAACTGGATTTTGGACCCCTGCCAACCCTTGACTCTTTGGTCTAACGCCAACTAGACCCTCTGCCAAATCCATAGCTCACCTAATCCAACACCAGTCAAACTCCATGATACTTTGGTCCACTACCCAGAAGAGAATTTTTATTAGTTCAATTCTGAGAAAAATTCACTTGTCCATGAGTAATTCAGATTCATAACCAGAAAATTTGATATCATTTGTTAGGCAGAAACACCTTTAAGAGAGATCCCTTGGGATTGAGACACGGAACAAACGACCATTGAAAAATAAAACACACAACAATTTAATTAGAAACAAGCCACAAACATGAATGATAAATGACACACAAGATTTAACGTGATTTGTTAAGAAATTGGTTTAATTTCTTTTAGACAGATTTTTTATTTTGTGTGGAAGTAACTAGTTACCTAACTGGTTTTAGTTACTTGAAACAGTAGTTAAGAAATTTCCTATTTTGATTAAGATTAGAAGTCATTTTCTATTCTGTACAAGTTTAGGAATTAGTACTGGTTTCCTATTGTTATTTGGATTTTTTGCCAAATAATGTTATCTGTAAATAGGTAGGTTGACATATTATACAAGAGACACACAAGGGCACACAAGAGGTAACATATAGCTTTGTACATGGGTGATGATATAGGGTTCTTGGGAGATGAAAAATGGTATACAAGGGTTGGGATTGAGTTCAAATTGTATTCTTGTATAGGATTTTCCTCTCATAATAAAGAATAGATTTCTCTTCATGGATGTTGGTTCAATGATGAAGGCGAATCATGTTAAATATTATATGTCGTTTATCTTTTATACTTGTGGCTTATTTATCATTAAATTGTTATATATTTGATATCTCAATAGTTGTGTGTTTCGCACTTAGATCCTAACAAGTGGTATCAGAGTTTGATTGCGAAATTGGGTTACTCACAAGCACTTGGATCCCAACAAACTGAATGGTTGGATCAAGAGTTTGGTGGTTCAAGGTTGGATCCTGGTTAACTATTGAGATCAAATGAATTGATAGTTGTTACTAATTAAATAATTTAATGAGTGATATCCTTGTTTCAATAGTTTGGCAAAAAGCATTGATGGTGAAAAATGGGAAACCGAAAAGCATGGAGACACTTGACGGTGAATCTAGGCAGGTGATTCAAGTGTTAAGGAAAAGGTGGAGTCCAATGTTGATTTTGGATGTGAATCGGTGGAAACTTTCTCACACCTCCAACAGTTGATATTTCATGCCGGTGGCTTTTAGATCTCGATTACGTTCTTTAGGTGGTGTGGCATGTGTTCTAGAAAAACAAAGAGATTTAATTTCCAGCCGCCAGAAGATTTTGACAGTTACAAGTTTTTTGTTTTGGGTGGAGTTTTAAAAATCACACATGGCGAGACAGTCCTGAGAATGGAAAGAAATATGGTGATTTTATACTTGATTGCCTTAATGATTAGGGATAGAACTCACAGAAGAGGATCTCGAATTGCAAGTGGTGGTGAGAAGAAATCTTATAAAGGGATATGGTAAATTGAGGCATCTTCTCATGAGTCAACTGGAAGTTGGATTTGGGGTAACTACACATGTTCATTTGTGTCAGGACTGTATTGATCCGGGTGTATAATTCAGTAACATATTATTTGATAGTTGAAAGCAAATAGTTGTTAAAAGAAATTTTCGTGAAGGTGGAGATTTGATAGGAAATTGGTTTAATTTCTTTTAGACATGTTTCTTATTTTGTGTGAATGTAAATAGTTTTCTAATTGATTTTAGTTACTTAAAGTAGTAGTCAAAGAATTTCTTATTTTCTTTAAAATTAGAAGTTATTTACTATTCTGTATAAGTCTAGGAATTAGCACTAGTTTTCTGTTGTTATTTGGATTTTTAGCCAAATAATGTTATCTGTAAATAGGTGGGCTGACATACTACACAAGAGACACATAAGAGCACACAAGAGGTGACATATTGCTTTATACATGGGTGGTGAGAAAGGGTTCTTGAGAGATGAGAGATGGTATACAAAAGTTGGGTTTGGATTCAAGTTGTATTCTTGTATAGAATTTTCCTCTTATAATAAAGAGCGGATTTCTCTCTATGGATGTAGTTTCAATGGTGGAGTCGAACTATCTTAAATATTGTGTGTTGTTTATCTTTCGTATTTGTGACTTATTTTTCATTAAATTATTGTGTGTTCCACGCTTGAATCCTAACATGATTCGATGCCATCATTGAATTTATGTTCACGGAGAGAAATCTATTTTTTATCATGAAAGAAAAACCCTATATAAGAATATAACTTGAATTCAATACCAACCATTACATACCATCTCTTATCTTCTAAAAATCCTCTCTCATTCTTTGTATAAGGCTACATATCGCTACTTCTAAGATTTATTTTACAAAAAATAGAAAAAGCAAGTGAAGGTGACAATAGTACAAGATAAAACAAAGATTAAAAAAATTAGAGAAGGAAAGATTGAGAAAAGAAAAGAAAAGAAAAATAAGAATAAAGAAACTAAGTACTAGTGGTCAAACCACTACTTTTAGAGTAGTTGGTCACCGGGGAGAGTTTTAAAACTCTTCTTGGATGTAGGATCAAATCCCCCCTTTGGGTCCCCACTTCCCTCTCCCCCTTCTTTTGACCCCTTTGGATCCCCCAATTCCCCCACTCCCCCTCCCCAACAAATTTCACCAATTGGATGGTGGTTCAGTCTCCTCTGAATTCTCCCTTTAATCTCTTTGGGTCCCCATTTCCCCTCTCCCTAGCAGTCTCCTCCCCTCTTCCTCCTTCCCCTGCCTTTGATTTCTTTGGATCCCCCTTTCCTTAACATAGAGTAAGAGCAAAAATAGAATAAAATATATAACGTGCCAAAAAAAACAAAGAATACTAGTGATCAAAACCATAGATTGGGTCTCTCCTTATTTCCCTTCCCCCCAGTTCAAAACCAAAGATTCAACAAAAATTTATTTAAACAACCACACAAATTTGGAGAACAAGCTCATATATGAATCAATCTAGTAATTATCCAAGAACAAGTTATGTCTCCATACCATTGCCGCCGCCAACTTTGTTGTCAATCGCCACTGCCTCCATTGCATTTTTCATATTTCATCGCTATCCCTTTTTCTCTGTTTCAAACACACACCGACAATGATGAACAGGCCTTGTAATAATTTGTTTTTGGGATTTAATAGCCCAGGAAATTACCCTTCTATTAATTGGAATATTATTTTCTATCCAGAATCTGATCTACCCATTAATGGGTGATTTTCGTTGAGTCCATTTATGATTGAATTTGAGCTATTGCATCAGTGTGTGTTTCTAATATTTCTAGGAGTTTTCTAAAGACTTTGGAAGAATTTAGTTTCGATTTAAGCACGTTTTTACCCCACATTTTGTGTTTTTTTTTCATATCAAGTTTATTGAAATATTCAAACTTTAAAGCTCAAACCTTGACAAAAAAAAAATTTAAAACTGACATTGGCAATTGGAGCGGGATGCTTCAACTCTGGCGTCTTGTTAGGACAAGTCACGGTTTTAGTATCTGACTGTATACTGTATACGGGGAAGGATGAAGAAAGATAAGTAGTAACGTACAAATTATGGTTTTAGTACTATTTGATTGCATAAGGGGAAGGAAGAAGAAAGATAACTGGTAACAGATTTTTGATGGGCATTCTCAGAGTTTTGTCATATATTTGCCGTGACATTACAGCCAGTTTGTAAATCAACGTTAGTTGACTGACACAGCCACACAGGGATGTTTTTGTTATGGAGCTTTGAGTTTGAGGGACCTTTTCATAGTTTTGTTAAAATGAGGGGCTGGTTTGTTATTTGATCAAACCATAGGGGAAGTAAATGTAATTAACCCTAAAATTTTAGGAAAAAGGGGAATAAAAGGGTACAAGGAAAAGGAAAATCGTATCAGGTAAGAGCCAGCAAGGAATACAGAGCACATTACAAAAAACAAAGAACCATATGCAATTATAGATGATCAGAATAGCCAAAAAGCAAGTACAGAAGGAAAAACAGATGGATAAAGGAACGAGACTCCATTAATTGATTAATTCTCACTGACTCTCAAAACAGAATTGATAATAGCAGATTTCATGATTGTAGTAGTAGTTGATATCCAGCTATGAATTTATGAAAAACAAGGGATCCTGTAATCCATTATCACTATTCAATTCTGACATACAGTCATGGAATGTTATCTGCAACATCTTCAAGAAAACGCCTCAAGGAAGAAAAGGATGATCCTCCTTCATTAGGAGCCAACCTGCTCTTCTCTTTCATTTCCTTCACCTTCTCTCTGATCTCATTCTCAGGATCCATTAGATGTTTAATCCCTCTTTCAATCACATCTGCACTCAAAATCTCACTACTCACACCCATTACGAAATCCCTTTTGAAATTTATTTTGATCTCCACTGCCATTGCCAAGTCTTTCACCATTAGGAATGCATTCTCCTGCTGCTCTGCATCAAGCGGCCAAGTTGCCACTGGCACACCGCACCAAACGCTTTCCAATATTGAGTTCCAACCACAGTGAGAAACAAAGCCCCCCATAGCAGGATGGGATAGAACTGCCGCCTGTGGTGCCCATCCAATAACTTTTCCAACAGTTGCAGTTCGCTGCAAGAACCCTTCTGGCAAGACTTCATCCAGGTTCTCATACTCACTTGGAAACTCAAATTTTTCTTTAGGTGAAGGCGTTCTCAATGACCAGAGGAATCGATATCCACTGTGCTCGAGTGCATAGGCAATTTCCTTCACTTGGTCACCATCAAAACTACCTCCACTACCAAAGCAAAGGAACACAACAGAACATTTTGGCTGAAGATCTAGCCATTTCATAATCATCTCAGTTTCTTGATTTTGACTATTGCTTCCCTTCAGATTCAATATAGGCCCTACTGCATATACTGGTGGGATGGTTTTATCATTGCTCAAGGCGTGAATCGCATGGGATTCTAACTCAAGGAAAGTGTTAATTATGATTCCCTTGGTCTTCCTGTATCTTTGTGCCTGATCGAGGACCATGTCGACACCTCCATCCTTCTCAAACAATGCAGATGACAAAAGTTTAGCTAGAACAGGATTGATGTAAGTAGGCAAAGCTAATTCAACGTCTGAATTCTCGTAATGGCTCACATCTTCATTGAGATCATCCTCAGACTTTGCAACTGGAATAAAACGCCAAGCGTTGCAGCACCACCTGGGTAAAATATATAGGAAGGAACCCCAAATTCATTGGCTACATCAATCAAAGAGGTGCAAAACATGTCTATAACGATCCCACCAAGATGCGAAGAAACAGAATTGGATATTTCAGCAAGAACCTCCCTCACACAACTTTTATGGTTGTCGATAAATCGAAACAGAATCGAAAGAAAAGATGACAATTGAGAAGAAGGCTCTTCTTTCATGAGCTCAAGGTACCTTATGTGCAAATTCAGAGTTTCTACCAATGAATTTGTGTAGCTACTGACTTTTGGATCAAAGGGCAGCTTCATAATCAGGACGGTGATCGATAATCATTCATCACATTCAACGAGAAGCTTTGCTAGTTCAACACATGATACTAAGTGGCCAATCCTGTAGACACCAAATTTTTGGTGTAATTTCATTTACTGTTTATTTTTTAGTTTTTTATTTATCGTGTTAGTTTTATTCGATTGTTAGTTTTTAGTTTCTAGTTTTATTTTTATTTTTAAGTTTTAGCATAGAATTTCTTGAAAAAAAGAAAAATCATAAAAAAGAAAAAAAAGGAAAATTGTTCACAAAAATACGTTCAAATTCAATCTTGTGGCATTTTGGTTTATTTTTGTTGATTTTGAAAAAAAGAAAAAGGAAGGGAAAAAGAAAAATGAATGAAAAATTGAAAAGCAATGAAAAAAAGGAAAAAGGAAAAAAATGAATTTGCACTTTGTTGTTCTAGTTTATTTTTTCATTAAATGTTAATTAAATCATTTTTGTTAGTTATTTTTATTATTTTCAATTTTTGTTTTAATTAATCTTAAAAAAAAAAGAGAGAGAGAAACTTGGCATGCAAGCTGCGTTTTGCCGCAGCTTGCAAACACAGGCTTGGGCAGCTCCTTGGCTGCAAATAAAGCTGGATTGGCTGAGGGTTTAGAGGTTGGGGGGCTCCCATATAAATAGAAAAAGAAAGGAGAGCCGCAGGGAGAGAGGGGGATCACAAAGGAAAAACAGGGGGGATAGAGAGAGAGGGGACGGCGGACTAGAGGAGAAAAAAAGAAAAACTGCAACGGATGAGAGGGGGTCGGCTAAAAAAGAAAACGGAGCAAAAAGAAACTAAAAAGAAGCAGAGGAAGCCGAGAGAGGTTTCAGCAAAGTAAAACCAAAGAAAGACTGGGAATTTGAAGAAACCGACGGGCAGAAAGAAAGCAGAGAAATAAGGGCCGGATGGAGGAAAAAAGAAAAGCTGGGTCTGAGAGCTTGAGAAACAGGGAAGGCTTACGACTGGAGAAAGGGGAGTAAAAATGAAGGAGTAGCGGATAGGAGGGGAAGCAAAATGGAGTGGCGGCTAGGTTTTTGGGGAAGCTTCGTCTGGTGAGAGCGGTGCAACAAGGAGGGAGAAAAGAGGGGAAATCAGAGAAGGCTTCGGCTTCAACAAACGGCGAGAAAATCTGGTGAAAGGGGGAACAATTAGAGAGGGGAGTTTCATCTGAAGCTATAGGAAAAACAAAGGAAAAGAAAGAAACAGAAAAGGAAAAGGGGGGAAGAAAGCTTCGGGAGGTTGAGGAAAACAGAGAGAGTGACGGCGGGCAAAGGAAGAAGAAAAGGTCTTTTGGGAAGTGAATGGGAGAGCTGGAAGGCTGGAAAAAGGAAAAACAACAGAGCAAGCAAAAAGGGAGCATTTGAAGAGGGATTGTGGGCAAGAAATTGAAGAAGAAAGCAGCGAAGGAATGGAAGCTTGTAGCCGCACCGTTCACTGGAGCCGCCACTGCTCGCCGCCACATCGTCGGAATCCTCCACTGTCATCCACGAACCTTTACCGCGAGAAATCACTGTAAGTTAATCCTCTCCACTACGTTTCAGCTGTCATCCGAACATAAACTTTGAAAGATTTCAGAGCATGTTTGCTGACGAATGTGCCGTGTCTGCCGTTAGCATATTGTTTCAAAGTTTCTGTCGATTGTTCATTTTCTGTATGTTGATTAGATTGGTTTCTCGTGAGTTTGCTGTAAATTGTGGGGCTGAGTATAGCTTCAATTGAGTAAAAGATTAGTGAAATTTTTGATGCCCTTTACCTGTTTGATGAAATGCCCGGCTAAAAATTCTGTTTGAGGAACGATTGACTTGCGTTTTGCTGTGATCTTGTTTTTATCTGCGAAGAAAGCTGAAATGCTAATGATGCTTAGACTGTTTGGAGAAGCTGACTATTTGTCCCAAGAATTTTTGCTGTTTTCACTCTTGTTTTGCATCCTTTCGATGGGTCTTTGTAGCTTGCATTTTGGTTAAATTTCAAAGATTAGAGTTGTAAGATCTTGTTGTTTTGGTTTGAATATTTGATGTGCGATTGGATGTTGTTTGCGCCTGGCATGAATTTCATAAGAAGTATTGTTGCAGAAAATGTCCTGATTGCAGGCTCTTCCATTTTGTTCTTTGATTGACCTTCAAGGGTTGTCTCCTTGCCTGTTGTGTTGTGTGTTGGAGCTTAATGAAATGGGTTAATGAATTTGAAGATTTGGTTTAAGATGGCCTAAGTCGCCTAGGTTGTATATGCTGCAAAAATTATAGAGAATTGGTGATGAAGAAGAGTTTCTGTGAAGAAAAATGCTTTTCTGCGAAGAACATGCGTGAATAAATCTGAAAATTTGCAATTTAATCCCTCAATTTCTGTCTAACTTCATTGTGGCTCAAAATCTGGAAAAAACCAAACTAATTTTGTCCTTTTAAATTTAATCCTCTGTTTGCATATTTTATGTGACTTTGTGGATAGATTAATTCTTGATTGTGGGTCATAATTGTGGCTTAATAATTTTGTTGATTTGTTTATCTTGTTGGGTTTAATGAAATAAGTGTTTGGGCTAGAGGGTCAAGGCCCATCCTTTTGGTTGGCTAATTTTGGCCAAAATAACATACAAGCCCACTTGTTTTTTCCTTGGACTTTCGATTGGGCCAAGTGATCTTGGCCCAAGAAAAATGAAAAATGGCCCATTCCCTTTTGTTTTGGATTTCCGGTTGGGCCTGAAAGGTTTTGGCCCAAGCAAATAAGGAAAAATGGCCCAATGGTTTGGTCCATTAAGAAACCAGAAAATGATTTTGCAAATCAGTCCCTGAATTTCCCTTTGACTGTACTGTGGCCCTGGATATTTTCAACTTCTTTCAATTCGGTCCTTAATTTAATTGCAAATAGGTCCCTGAACTTTATTTTTCTTTAATTTTGACCTCCAAACTTTGTTCATTTGTGCATTCAAGTCCTTTCTTCTTTTGACTTCTTGAATGTGAGTTGCTTACATGATTCAATTGATTCAATTTCAAGCTTACCATTTTATTTTTTATGATTATTTGTTAAATAAAGTGATGCCTTGACTCGTTTATTATTTTGGAGGGTAAATAAGTGGTCTCACTCTATTGGGGCCCCAATTCAAGGGAGGTATAACTTCTTTTATTTTTTTTTGTCTCTCCTATGTGAACCAACGTGCTACGTGAGAATACATGTCTACTTTGCTTTCCTAGCCTTTCTTTAATTTCTTTTATTTATGTCATTTACTTTTGCTTTTTATTTAAGTTATTCTTTATGGGGTATGTGTACACCTCTTGGCTTGTAATAGTTAGGGATTTAATTATTGTATTCCTTTCCCCCCCTTTAGATTGTAGTAGGGTCTCCCTAATGTAATAGATAGGGCTTGGAGGAGCATTCAATGAAGACCTATCGAAGTCATGTGCCTAGCTAGCAAATGTAATAGTTAGGGCTTTAATCGTCTTATGTGTCTTGCATGCTTAGTTGCTACGTGTTAATTTGCTTTGTTAGGGTCTTGCATCTAGTCGAGCATGCTAAATGTTATGTGTTATGTGTTTATGAGTGTTTGACATGTCTACTCGCTTTCCATAGCCATGAATGTACGTTTCCACTAGTCCAACGCTAGTCGGAATTCATAGAATGGGCTAGTCCAACGCTAGACCCTTAGGGATTTCCCCTCGTTAGTACATGTTTGCATGTTCATTACATGTCATGCATTCTTTTAGTTTTATCATTTTTCATGCCCCTCAAACCCCTTTCCCTCCATTTTAGGATTTTTGCATTTCATGCTAGTTATAGGGTTCATATGCTTGAGAGTCCCCTTCTGATAAGGGAAACGAGCGAGTGTGGCTACTCGATAGCCTTAGCACGCTAGTTTTGCTTTCTAATCAAAAGGAAAATCGAAGTCGAAAAAGTTAGGAGTCATTCCCATACCCGACCTGATGCATTCCTTTAGGTTCATTCATTCTCATTTATCACTTACTCATTTTTTTCAATTCACATTTCCTCATCACTTTTCCTTTCCTTATTGTTCATTTTGATTTCTACTTCACAAAATTGCACTTAATTACACCTATATGCACTTATCACTATATTTCATACACTTGCACACAAACACTTGGATTTTTCATACAATTTCACACGTGCACCTTTTTATACACTTGCACACTTGCACTTTAGCCATCATTTGCATTAATCGACCTCTATAAGGTTTTCCTTTATTGGCCGCCACAATTCATGTGGTTGGGACCAAAAACCTTACAAGAGACATTTTAGAATTTAGGTTGGCATTTTTTCTTTCTTTTTGCATTCATGTAGTGCATCCAAATGTAATAAATTCTTTGGTTAAAATAAGAAAAACTTTGATTAAATCAAGCAACTAGCCTTGGCTAGGTCGAAGGAGTGCCTTGGATTTTTTTCCTTGCCTTCCCCTTCGTCAAATGTGACTCCCGAACCTTTTTCGTTGGTTTACGTGGACTAGGAGTCGTTTAAAAGGGGTTTCTTACTACTCTTTCCTATTTTTTCTTTAAAAAATTCATTTTTAGGTGACTTGGTACACCTTAACTCATTACCAAGTGGCGACTCTGTTTTTTATTTCAAAAACCCTTTTTAAACTATAATTTTGGGTCAAATCGCCGCATTCTCAAACCCCCATTTAGACCCATTTTTCTTTTAAATCACAATTCATTTTCCAATCACAAATTGAATCAAAAAATACGTTTTTAAACCATTTTATTTATTTATCAAAAAAATGGGGCGCGACAAATCCCTAGTACAGTAACGAAAACCAGCTCTGCTTTATTCATTTCTTTCGTTTTCTCTGCTAACGAAAATGGCAGATGGGATGTGCTTATGAGCAAAGTTCGGTGTGGATAGATTTGTGGCTCTGTTGGGGGGAAAATGGGAAACCAGAGGAGTAATAAATGATGGAGGAAAGGGAAATTAGAAAGTGGGGACAAATGAAGTAAATGGTGGATGAAGAAAGAGAGACCATCGGTTGTAAGGGGAAAATTGAGGACAGAGGAGGACAGAAAATTTGAAGAATGGGGCACTCAAAATTACATTAAAATTATATAAATATTATAAGAATTTAAGGGGATAGTGGAGGCTCGACGGCCCGTGCCCCAATGCCCCCACCTTAAATCCGTCCCTGGTTATTACCACAATTTTGAGAGGAATTAGACCCCGCCTTCAAGCCTCTCAAACCCCTAGTTTTGACTTTTTAACCAGTATCTCTGTCCAAGCAAGCTTCTCATGTCTTACTCCTATTATTTGTCAAGCATATCAATTAAAAAAAATGGTGCCTAGTATTTGGCACTCATTTCAATTAGGCGCCCTTTGCAATGATAAATTGGTTATGTTTTCACATTTCAAATTATGACCAATGCAATGAACAAATGACTTAATTTTTTTCTATGGACAAAACTATGTAAAACCATAAGTTGTAAAGGTAGCAGAGTCAATGATGTAGGCACTGGATCCCAAATAACTAACATGAAGGTAAGTAATGTTTCTACAATTTAAGAAGACAATATGAAATGGTCAAAACCTCGATGGCAGTTTCTAAAATTATCCCAATAATATAAGGAAAAGGGAATATTGACCCAAAAAAATCCTTTCCAAGTTGTGGCTTATATCACATGAAATACTTGTGTCACGGTTGCATAACATAGTTGTATCACCGTCCAATAGGCTCCGATTGTATCTCAAGTTCTAGCAGAACTGGCTATGCTCTAATTTCTGTAGTTTCATGGAAAATTTGAGGTTATTTAATTACACGTTGCCCCTCTAAATTGGGTCTACTTTAAATATGTACACTTCAGCACCTACTATGATCAATCAAAGAATAGAGATAATCTTCTTTTGTTTAGAAATTTCAATGATAATGACATTAAAGGCCACCGATAATGGCTGTATGAACAATATGTTACCCTTTACATGAGTACATAAAGTACTTACTAGGTGGAGAAATAACATGCTGATGTGACATGTATGCAAAGCGCCTCTCTCTCTAAATTATCAAGTTAGGTGGATGCAGCAATATACGATCAGAAGATGCTGGGAGAAAAGTCTTGAATATTCGCATATGACCAAACCACGTTAAGCTATGTTTTCTCTTTTTTCAGATGCCGTTTCAATACGCAAACCTACCTTTATCTAAAATATATAAAAGGGGGAAGGGGGAATAGCTACAGTACAACCATGGGTTGGTTTCGATGATAATTCTGATGACTTTGTGGGGTGTCTTGGTCTTTACACCGTACATGACCTGCAATGTGTTCTTGCCTCTTCCGTCCTTCTATAATTGGTAAATTCTGTAGTGTATTCAGCTAATCCAAGACAGGTGTGGAAAGGTAAAGAATATGGCAAAGAAGCTGACATGTACGGAGGATGATGAGAATATTTCTACAAAAGCAATTGGTGACCTATAAACCCGTTGGGGGATGGGGAAATGTTGCGTACTGCAGAAGCTGGAAATGTATTGGGGTGTGACAGAATTAACAAAAATATAATG